CAGTAAAAAAAAAAATGAAATACGGATTCCTCTCCCAGCAGAATTTTTACGTGCTCCTTGCCTCTCTGAAAAGCTAAAAACTCCCGAGATGGTTTTGGCCCCCAGGGGATCGCCGAAGGAATTTGAGGAATCTCTTTCTCTCTTCTGGAAGAATTCGTTCATGCTTAGAATAGAGAGAAAAAAATCAGGAGAGAGCCAGAAAATGCAGGAAACACTGAGGCTGTTTGCTCTAACTTGACTAAAGACCAATGCTGGGAGCCGTCAACTGGCCCCTGCCAACTCGCCCTTCTGGAAGGAGGCACTGTTTGAGGCCACCGGCTCCTTGTCTCCCACCGAGACACCTCCATCCCAGAGGCTGCCTCCTCCCACCCCACTCGGGCCCCCAGAAGCTCTGTAGACTGAAAACCCCACCGGATAGGAAAAGAGGGGTAAGAAGAGTTATAGAACGGTGACTGAAAACAGAGCCAAAGAATGAAAGGAGGTGGGAGCCGGCTCCTTAGCTGGACCTGGATGTGGAGAAAATCTGGGGTAGGCCGAACAGCTCAGAGTTTCGAGATCCTGGGTGTTTTGGTTTGGTTTCTTGGATATTTGTTTGTTTGTTTGATTGGTTGGTTGGTTGGTTGGTTGGTTGGCTTTTGGGGGGTTTTGTTGTTTTTGTTATCTTGGTTTTCTGGCTTTTTGAGACAGGGTTTCTCTGTGTAGCCCTAGCTGTCCTGGAACTCACTAGGTAAGCCAGGCTGGCCTTGAACTCAGAGATCTGCCTGACTCTGCCTCCCAAGTGCTTGGATAAAAGGCCTGTGCTGCTACTGCCCAGCATTTAAGACCTGTGTTCTTAAGCTGAATAAGAAATAAAAGCTAACATGGTTCTGAAAAACCAATTTCATAGCAGGACAACAGACTGGATTGTTTTCAGAACAACTGTTATACCCAGAAATGCCTTTCAGCTTTAAAACGTGTAGCTCAAACTCATTGAGTACAATACCGTGGAAGTGTTTGAGCACTAACCCTCTTTGTTTTAAAGAAAACATTAGATAAAATAATTAAATATTTATTCAAGTACTGATGGTACTTAACGGATCTTCCAGGTACTGAAACATAATTCAGAATTTTGTTTGTCTTATGTTTATAAAGCATGTATAGAAACATATACATGTGTATATACATATTGTATACATATGTATATAATTGCATATACCCTATATATAATATGTATATGAGTGCCCTTAGACTCTAGATTTGTTAGATAAAGGTTTCAAGCTACCTTGATTTGCAAATGGAGAATTTTAACTAAACACTAGCGTTTTATCTCTTGAACACAAAGACCTTGTGCTATATCCTAGAGCTTACACGATGGGCCGAATGTTCTCGGTCTTGCCAAAGTATACTTTATATAACTTTGCATGTCATCCTTGTGCAGAAGATAATGGATACCTCGAAACTGTCTAACAAGAAGACTTCTTTCTTGGCTTCCCACACTCACAAGTATAAAACACAATTCGGGTCAAGGGGGCGGTCCATCAGCAAGAGTGCTTACTTAACATTCCAGAAACCCAGGTTTGGCTCCTGGCACTGTGAGAAGAAAATGCCATGAAAAAGAGACACTTTGCTTTAGGCAACGAAAGCTTTCTTGGGAGGATGGGAAAAAAAAAAATAGGTGAACTGTAGGCTTACACTTGGCAATAACTATGTTGGGTTATTTTGTTGTGGTGCTGGCAGATTCTGGGGGAAGGGCCAAGAGTGGTTTTGTTTGTGTTTGTGTTTTTTTTTTTCAACTCCCACTGCCTCCCCAGAAGCCCCCATCATGTCCCTCCCGCCTCCTCATCCTCTCATACAGCCTGCAGGTCCTGCGCAGGTAGCCACAGCTGCTGGAGTATATGAGTGCAGCCGCTATTTCATGTCCAGGAGACTATCCAACACTCTTCCTCATCCTCCAGCTCTTACATTCTTCCAGCCTCCTTTTCCTCCGTGTCTCCTGAGCCTTAGGGCAAGGGGGAGTGTGGTGATATTTTATCTGTGTCCCCCAGTAAAGTTTATCTGAGGATCAGAGGAAAAAGCCAGCCACTATATTAAACATAGAAGTCAGGCAATGGTAGCACATGCCTTTAATCCTATCACTTGGGAGGCAGAGATCCATCTGGATCTCTGTGAGTTCAAGGCCACACTGGGAACAGAGCCAGGTATGGTGGCACACGCCTTAAATTCCAACACTAGTTAACCATAAAGGTCTGGAGGTCTGTACAGACAGGAAGTGACAGAGCTGGGCAGGAAGAGGAAGTGATGTAGCTGTGTGGAAAGAGGAAATGAGATGGCAGAACAGAAAGGCATATGGGCGTGGGACAGGAAGTAGGTCTCTTTGGCGGAGGATCTCCAAGCAGTAGGAACGTGGCTGGCTTCTTTCTGCTTTTCTGATCACTCCGTTTTAACCCCAATATCTGGCTCCAGGTTTTTTTTTAATTAAGACCATTTAGCAATTCGTCTTACAGGGAGTTTGCCAAAGGTGTCCCGTTAAGGGTGGGCATGTGGAGGCCATTTGGTGACGCTGGCCACTGTGCCTCTCTTGCCCCATCCCCTGCTTGGCCAGTTCTAGCAAAGGTTTTGACCAAACCACAGGCTCCTATTTTGTCCGTTCTCCTCTGTGGCTGTTCTTTTACATCTGTTGTCTCAAAAGACAAAAGGAAGATGAATAAATCTTCCTTTCTTTTTTTAATTTGAGACAGGGTCTTCTCACTCTGTACCCTAGGCTGGCATGGAAGTCGTTACATGGCCATGGATGGGCTTGAACTTGCAGGACCCCCGTCTCAGTCTCCTTAGTGCTGGAATTATAGGTATTAGGTCACCACGCCCCCTCAAGAACATGAATGTTTAAACATAAATTAATGGGAAACATTAAAATAATAATATTTCTAAAAACCCACTCCAAGGTATTCTTACCAGACACACAGACTTCATCTGTCTGATCAAAATGTTTGATCCCATCTAAAATATCTCTGTACAGCAAAAACTGATTTAGAAAAATTATTCTGATTTTTTTTTAAAAATCAGAATAAAAATAGCCTGTTTCTGGAGGGATGGAGAGAGAAAATGCTTGCCAAGCTCAGTCTAATCTCCTTTCCCACAAAATCCTAAGAATGAGCCCGGGCGGTGGTAGTGCACGCCTTTAATCCCAGCACTCGGGAGGCAGAGGCAGGAGGATCTCTGTGAGTTCGAGGCCAGCCTGGTTTACAGATCGAGATCCAGGACAGGCACCAAAACTACACAGAGAAACCCTATCTCGACAAAACAAAACAAAAAAAAAAACAAAACCAAAACAAAACCAAAAAACCTAAGAATGATCCGGTGTATTAAACGCAAACAAAGAAACAGGCCATAAAAATAGCTTTTGTCTTATGTAACACCAGACCGAGTTACATTGCAATCTTTCTCTTAACACATCCCCTAGCCTCAGGCAAAACACAGGTAAGAATGAGTTTTACATTTAATTGTCAAGAAATAGGCTTTCCCCAACACAATCATTAAAAAGCAAATTAAACAGAGTATGTCCAGAGTCTACAGAAAGTAAAAACTTACATATGAGTAATACTTAAGACTGTAATTCAAATGAAACTTCTAATACATATTTAATACTGTGATCATTTATTATAAAAAACGTTTTACTTAAAATTTCTTCCTTGTTATGTCACAAGAATGGCAGAGTAACTTAGGGAGGGGCTGGGGAAGTGACTCAGAGGTTAAGAGTGCACAGAGCCCTGTCAGAGGACCTGGGTTCAAGTCCCAGCACCCACATGGCAGCTCACGACCGTGCGCAGCTCCAATCCCAGGGGTCTGATGTGCTCTTTCTTGCCTCCGTGGGCACCAAGCACACATTTGGTATACATACGTACATGCAGGTACTCACACGTGCACATAAAAAAATTCTTTAAAAAATAAAAAAACTTACGAACGAATGTCGGTGAGTGAAAGAAAACCCACAAACAAGAAGGTACGCTTCATTTTAAACCCCTGGGAGCCAAATGGTTGGGAGAGTGAATCAGACATGTTTAGCAACATTCTTCCAGCAGGAGTCAAGAGTAAGCTGGCAGTGTAATTGTAGAGCCAGTTAGGAGCCGGCACCCACGACTTTTGGTTCCTTTATGGCTTATTTTAAGACTTGTCGCATCATCAGCCTCTTAATATAGAGGATGAGGCCGTGGGTTAGCACGTCAGCGAGTCTGAGTCAAATGCTGACTGTGCAGAAGTTTTGAGGAACACCTAAACCAATTTACTTCATTTAATGTTCCATATTTTTGCATGTACGAGTATATTAGAAAGTAATCTACGCTTAATTAAGTTTATCACTACCCTTCCAGTAAGGAGAAAATAAAGTTTGACCACATCATAATAGGATTTGTGAAGTGTGAGTGTGTATATGTGTGTGTGTGTGTGTGTGTGTGAGAGAGAGAGAGAGAGAGAGAGAGAGACAGAGAGACAGAGAGACAGACAGAGAGAGAGAGACAGACAGACAGAGTAAGGGTTGCAATGTTTTTTTCCTCCTGCTTTGGCCTCCCAAAGACTAGGAATCTAGGTGTGCACCACCATTCCCGGGGTTGCAGTCTTCAAAAGCATTTTTAAGGTTTTAATTGACACAGAGTAATTGTATGTAGTTATGAGGCAATGTGCTTTTCTCTCTTAATGGCATGTACACCAGCGTCTTAAGCTGATAGCATCTTAGGTTTAATGATTTAAATTGGGGATTCGGGGCTTTCCCACCCCCACAGAATGGGGAGCTGGTGAGCTTGAGTGACTTAAGGTTTATAATGGAGCCTTATTCCTGGCTGGCCTTACTGCACTTTACAAAATCTCTTTGCTTTTACTGTCCTCGTTGAGGAACTTTCCGGGCTCTGGGCTTTTAATAACACATGGCCCTATTTAACAGTCTCCCAAGTATTTCTCAGAAGGAGACACTGTAGATGTTAGGTTTTCTATGCATGGCCTCCTTATAAGTCTCTCCTTTCCTTTGCTAGGGGAGCAGGCTGCATCTTTATTGAAATGTTCCAGGGTCAACCTTTGTTTCCTGGGGTTTCCAACATCCTGGAACAGCTGGAGAAGATCTGGGAGGTAAGACAAAAATTCCTTATAAGAAAAAAGAAATACCTCCATTCCAAACTCCGAGCCAAATTTGCCTTGGAGACAATGAAGTTATCCATCTGCTCAAGACACTGAGCCGTACTTAAGGCTGTAGAAGCTATGATGTTTGCTGCAGAACGAGTTCCTATGGGATGGGTGCTTAGGAGACCCCTGCTGTCCCATACCAGCCTGTAAACCACCCCACTGAAGACATCTGGGTCTCCTGCTTCCTATGTTAGTAGTATTTTCTCCGTTCCCAGCAGCAGTGTCTGCCAGTACCACTTGGCTCCCAGCCTTCATTTTAATTCTGCTGGAGACTTGGGCCTGCATCTTCACCAACAGGAGACAGGACACCAGATTTTCCTAGAACCTCAGAAAACACACCTCTCATGTTAGTGTAAGGGAAGTATAGAATCTGTCATGCTCCTGCACACGAGCGTGATGCCTAAGATGCTGAAGACCTTGGTGTGTGCCCATGTGTGTGTGTGAATATGTGTGCGAGCTTGGGTGTGTATAGCGTGTGCATATGTGTGTATGAATGTGTGTGTGCATGTGTGTATAAATGTGTGCATGTCTATATGAATGTGTGTATGTGTATGAATGTAAGTGTGCATAATTCCATTTCTTTCCTTATTATTTTCTCTACTTCATTTGCACTGTGATGTGCTTTGATTTTCTTTGCTTTATAGTCATTGATATAACCATACTGTCTATTTACCCTTTTTTTTTTTTTTTTTTTTGATGATTTTTCCTATTTTGGTAAAGTATACCTAAAATTTACCAGGTTGGTCAATGTGTACCAAGTTACAAACAGATTTGATAAATTAGGTCTGGCCATCTTTTGCCTAATAGATTGTAGGTAATCATGGTGTTCTGTATATATTTTTAAAAGGCAAGAAAGAATATTAATTTTTTTTAACCACAAAGAAATGACCAATGTTAGCCAAGCGCACGCCTTTAATACCAGCACTTGGGCAGGCAAATCTCTGAGTTCAAGACTAGCCTGGTCTACTACAGAGCAAGTTCCAGGACAGCCAGGGCTACATAGAGAAACCCTGTCTTGCAAAAACAAAAAAGCAGACAAACAACAACAACAACAAAAGACCAATCTTTGAAAAGACAGATAAATGTACCCTGATGTTACCATTACACAGTGCATAGATGATAAACATCACGTGGGACTGTAAGGCGCCTCCCCGAGGAAGGGCAATTGTTGCCAAGCCTGAGAACCCGAGCTCTGCCTCCAACCCACACCATGGAAGGAGAGAACTCCCACTAATTGTCCTCTGGTTTCCACACATGTGCCACTCCAAATACACACAATAAATAAGTGGAATTTAAAAAAAAATCACATAACACCCAATAAGCACTCTGGAACAATGAAAATAAAATGAGATGGGAAATGTTACCGTTTTAGCAATCAAGTGTGTGGTGCACTATGGTCAATCCATTGGCACTGTTGGGCCAGCACCTCTGCCATTATTTCCAGCACCTTCGAATCACCCCAAGCAAAAGCTCTGCAGCCATGAACACAGTCCCATCGAGCCTGGCCAACTCAGCCCCTGAGAATCTCTCATCTACTTTCTGTCTCTATGAATTTGTGAAACAACAAATATCTTACATCACTGGAGTCCTATAACGTTTGTCTATCTGGGCCTGGCTTATTTCACTTAGCATAATGCTTTCAAGGTTCATTCATATTGTATGTGCATCAAAGTGCTTTACACTGGGGCTTTTTATCAGTGGCTAATGCTTGATCCAGCTCCTTGTCTTCTGATGAAGATAAAAATGTACTGTGAGACACAAAGACATTGTATGTAAATTAATCACTAATATAAAACTTTATTTTGGCCACCTGGAGGATATTATGGGAAACATGGGACAAAATAGGAAACATTCATTCACAAACAAACAAACAAAAAAAGCTTTTTCAAGCCAAAAGACTTCTTTCTTTCTTTCTTTCTTTCTTTCTTTCTTTCTTTCTTTCTTTCTTTCTTTCTTTCTTTCTTTCTTTCTTTCTTTCTTTCTTTCTTTCCTT